GGTGGTGTGTGTTTGGCATCTGCGTTATTATGAATGCTGTCAATATCTTTGTGAAAAAAATCATGAGTCAAAGCTCTACAAGCTGGTAGTCTATGTGACGCCTCAAATGTCAAAAACTCTTTCATGAATTGGAGGGCAAGTTTCACATCTGTCTCGCACAGATCATCACCTTTGAAGATATTTATCATTATTGGCCGCAGTAAGCTATATTCCTGCGAAGAAAGTTAAGCTAGTATATATTTAGTTATAATTATAGTTGTTATAAGTTCAGTTTATATATAGTTCTAAATTTACGAGTCCTATAGAATTCTTATGTTTGTCCGATAATTTATCACATTATATAACATATCCTTATTGAGTGATTTGAAGGAAAGATAATTTTGTTTTTCAGAAAAACAGCTAAGTATATTCCGGTTAGAATAAAAATAAATTCCGGGTAAAGTGGTTAAGTAAATGCCTGGATACTTATTTTACGATGCTTAAGCGTAGATGAAAATTTTGAGGTTGCAATTAGTTAGATCGAATATAACAATGACTTAACTATGTAAATGTGTATATCCTAATTTTTTAAATTATTAATTAATTAATGTATTATTAATAAGTACTTACAAATTAATTTGTAATTAATCTATTACTAATTAATTATTATTTAAGTTCTGTTTTGAAATTTGTGAATTTGTTCTAAACTTGTTCAGCATGTTACGAATACAATCATTCCAACATATAAATTTAGTAAAATATTTAGGGCGGTGAAAAAAATTGAAACGTTTTTCGAGTTGCAAAATTTTTGTTAGTGCTAATGCAAATTTTAAAAATTCTACGTGAAAGAAACTTTTCACAAAGGCACATAAATGGTGATAGATGTATTTGTGAAAGAAATCATTTACCTCCGGAAAATCGGAAAATTTTATAGTTTCTCTCTACTAGCTACAAAAATAAATTTAATTGAGTAATAAACCACACATCACTATCACATTTGATATTTACTTTTTAGACTCATTAAATCTAAAACTGAAAATGGATAAGGTTAAAGCAAACATTGATATACTTAAAAAATAGTTTTAAAAATTTTTAAAAAACATTTAATCTATCTATTTTGAAAACGTGCTTGCTTTAATTTCGAACTAAATAAAGTTTTTATTCAATGTATGAGTTATTTAATCACAATAAATTTGCACATGGTCAGTCAAATCAAATAAAATAGCTTGTTTCCTAACTGAAGATTTATGACTTAACCAAATGAATTCTGTTTGTTTCTCAATTTGTCCGCTACAGCTACGCAGATGTTAATTCCTGGTACTTTAAAATTAAGTTCGTAGCGGAGGGACGCATTAAACTGATTTTAATCTGTAGATTCAATTTACATCACAACTGGAGCTACGGTCTGGGAAACATCCCTAACTTCCCATTTACACGAGATCTGGGATCATGCTCGTGATGTCACCAGACGAACGTAAACCAGATATTTCAATTAAGATTGTCCTAAACTGCTTTCAGCAAGCATTGCCTGATGAAGGCACCTTCGAGTCTGGCCAGAATTCAGGCGCGAGATGATTGGCACTTTGCATCATGTGGCTATTTTTCACTACTCCTTACAAGGTGGTGCTATTAACATCAGAAATAGTGTGAACTTAACAAACATTTTTTTCAGGCTAGTGACGTTCAAAGACTGCTTTCAAACACCTTTTGAAGTGAAATTTTAATGCGACTTCCAACTAGGTTGCGTTAAACGTTCAACGCTGAATGCGTGGCACTCGAACGCATGCGCGTAGTATACCTGTTTTACAATCAGAGCTTGGTTGCCTAGCAACCTAGTAAAATTACGCATTCCTCTTTTGAATTAGTCATTGGGTTATCTTAAAATACTCATTTGCGCTGGCGACTTTTTTTGGCGGTGGCCTGTGATCCTTGCAGGAGATTTTAATGTGAATTTCTCGTTACCTGAAGCTGAAACATTATTAACCTTCCTTAAAGACAAATTTAGATTGGAAATGATAAATGGTAGGAATGATCCAACAACCAAAGGGGGAACTACCATTGATGCAGTTTTTGCAAGAAATATTGAAAAAATAGAACTCAAACATTTCGTATCTTACTTTAGTTATCATAATTTCATTGTAAATGTTACAGATTTGGATATTTCTCCACTCGAAAATGATAATTAATAGATGCGATCCATTGTGAATTGTAAGCAATGTTAATAAAGTTTGTCTTAAAGAAACAATATGATTTCACTAAAAATCAATTTCTACCCCTTCCTATTTTCATTTCCACATTACGAAGTTTCACTTCTTCCGCGCGGAGGGACTCCACGCACTATTTTTTTTCTGTCCTCGTGTAAATAGGGTGCAAGTATGATCCAAAGTCATGACATCACAATTTTGATCTTTTACGTAGGGAATGACTCCCGTTTTGGTAGAATGCGAAATCGAGCTATTTATACGGTAGAACAGTTTAACGAGGACCAATATCGCACTCCCTCGATCTCTTCGCAGACTAATCAAAGGGGTCACCCACTCGCGACATAAGTGATCTACTGGGAACTGTGTCTTACGATCAGGTCGCTGGGGGGCTATTCATTATGAAATAAAGCTATACCTCTAATAAGGCTAGTACTGTAGTATACATTTGTTCCCTCCCGTCCATACATGCATTTGTTAATGTGAAACAACTAAGTAGTTCCATCAACAGGCAACCGAACGCCCACATATCTATGCTGGTGCCATCAAGGTGTTTTCTCTCTTTAGACAGGATAACTTCAGGGGGTTGGTATATACTTGGCAAGCCAATATCATGTCTGCAACAAAAAAGTTGTTTTTGGTTAATAAATAAAACGCATTTTAATAAATTCAATAAATAAAACGCCTTTCATTTATGAAATAATAACTAAAAATTTTTTTTTTAAATACATACTTATAGAGAGGTGTTTTACAATCCCTTAAAAATGTAAAATCGCACAAGAGTGCAGAATTTTGATCTGTTATGAGAACATTGTCCGGTTTAAGATCCAGATGGCAAGCTCCATTACAATGAAGATAGTCCAATCCTTGGAGCACGTCTTTCAGCCAAGACTTTAAGATATTGTAAGCTCCCTTGCATGGAGTCAAGTCTTGAATGGAGTCAAACAATGTGGTTGGATAAACTGGCATCAAGAAGACAAAAGTTTTTTGTATCTTCAATTTGTGCACGCCTATCAAGGGAACTAAGTTGGGATGACTCAGAGTTTCCCACAGTTCCGACTCGGCTTTTGACACCATGTCGTAGGGCACAATCTTTACTGCCAGCTCCGATTTGTTCAAGGGCTCTATCATTCTGAACACTTGTCCAAATGAGCCTGATCCAATATGGCCAAGGCTAGTATATTTTTTCTCCTTTTGCAATATTTCAACTGCCTTCTCAATGCGTTCAGCGAGTTTATCATTTGATGTTCTTTTCACACCTTTCGACATTTTAAATCTTATATTAAATAAATACGCTTTTTCTAAATTTATTTGACTCCAAACAGCTCAAATGATCAAGATAGAATAAATTACAATAATAAGAGAATTTCATTGTTGCAAATACACGAAATCTTAAGATTTGTAAAACGAAACATTTTTATTATTTGACCTCCATTGTTGAAATGCATTTCTAAATGGTATTGTTATAACTTTATTACCTTTCTATATATCGCTACAAGATGTGTTCAAGTTTTTTGATAATAGAATTAATTGTTGTTCACAACTTTAAATTTATATAGTACCGGAAAGAAAAACTTCCCAAATGCAGCTCTTTTCACTGTTCTTGTACTATATACTTTTTAAAACATTTATTCTAAATTGTATTTGTCACCGAAATTTATAAGAAAAAAAACCGCTAAAAATATTTAATACCAAAAACTTGTTCTTAGAATTATAAATTAAAGTTTTTCTTCCTCTTGAGTCTTAAATACTGCCTCAACATTTTAATTCAGAAATTTACGGTGTTTCAAAATTTTTATACTGTAATAAACGGCAGTATAATTTAATTCGTGGTACGAAAAGAAAAAAAAACTCTCTTGAAACTGTATTTATCTTGTAAAACTTCTTTTGCTAGCACTGTAACAGCACTTTTTAAAATATTTCATTAAAATCCGTTAAGTTACAGTAACACGCAATCAAGAATTTTATAAGAAAAATGATAAAATAATGTCATTGAAATAAATTATGCTGGAAAAAATATAAAATTTGATTAATAGTAAGATCGCATTTGAGTTTTTAAATGCCTCACTTCATTTATTTTTTTACCAAGTAATAAGCAATATAATAACACAAGTCAATAAATACTATGTCTTAAAAATTAAACTTATTGTCAAAATCAATTAATTGCAATTTTTCAGCCTTCTTATTAAACCAATTCTTTTACGATAACATCATGCAATGAAAAGAAGATTATAAATATCTTGATCTTGAATTAAGTAAATTTTAGACACGAGCACTTTAGAATTAAGCACTTTTTTCCATTGTTACAAATCAGGCAATATTCCAATGCAATGAAAAGAAGATTATAAATGTCTTGATCTTGAATTAAGTAAATTTTAGACATGAGTTTGGCAAAAAATATTAAATATTCAAAACAGTTTATAAATTTGAAAGAAACGTATTTCCAGTTGAATCAGGAATTTACATTTTACGTGAAAACTAAGAAGCCATCCATAAAAAATGTCACATTTTGTTTTTTTTTTTTAAATATTTTTGATCCTTTTCTCCATTTTGTCAGAAAGTGTTACACTTTTTTCCATTGTTACAAATCAGGCAATATTCCATAAACATATATTTTTAATTCAGGAACAAAGCGCAAAATTAAAGTATATTTCAAAGTATATTTTAAGTTTTGATTTCTGCGTTTTAATAGCATTATTATTCGTCAGCGTTATAATAATTTCTCATTTTGATGAAATAAAATACTAAATATCTTGATTTTCAATTTTTTTTGTTAACCATACTGTGGGGTGTTACACTTCATATTACACTTACCCCTACTTTTGTCACAAACTTTTACAATTTCACGTACCCCCTTCCTCTCCTCCAAGCGTGACATCATTTATGAAGGGTCCCTAAATTAAAGCAGTAAATTAGAGGTTTGATGCAGATATTCTCTGCATATGCATTATGTCGGTATAAAAAAGCTTTCTTCATTTTACTGACATAGCTTTCTTCCTTAATATTAAGGGGAGGGTGACATTATAAAAGCGTCAATGTTTTCCGAATTCTTAAAGAAATTTATTGGCCCAAAATTTCAAATATAATTTTAAAAAATTAAACGAGGTAAGAGACATACATGCACTCGGTGTTTTAAAAATAATATGGTAAAATTGAAAGGGTAAAGCAAGCGTACTTAAAAGAGTCAAAAATCTCATAGGGTCCATGGTTGCAAGAGAAAGTTGTAAATTTAACAGAACGTATAGTTTGTCTAAAGTAAGAACTCCCCTAGACATACGTCTGAACCCGTGGCGGTGACTATGGTAACGAGGCATAACTATTTCAAGAAGGTGTGTGGGATCACTGTTTAGGACAGGTTTTTATCTCGGGTCAGTAAGAGAAAGGGAATATTTGTCTTCGGTTCATAGTGTTAGCCCTAGAGTGAAGAGGAGCTACTCTCCCTGAAAGCGTTGTTCTTGTTTCCATAGTAGCCGACGGCCTCAGACTTTGTGGCGGGGGGAGTTCTTGGAGTAGACAAACTATACTAACTATATAACTAAGTATAGAACAAAATTAAAAAAACAAACTCGTTTAAAATATATTTTATTATCTTATTTGAGTGATCGTTAAAAAATCTATTCTTGGTACGATTTTCTTCAAGAAATAAAAATGTAAATAAATTAAATTTGTTCAATATTTTGAGAAACATTTCTGCAACTAATTTGCATGACTTCTAAATGATACACTTGATTTCTAGTGGTTTGATTTTTTTTCCTTTTTCCTACTGAAGGAGAGAAAAGAAGTTGTAATTTTATGAAAATAAAATCTACAAACTATACGAATTCAACTCCATGAAACAGTATCTATAGTTGAAATTATCAAAAATACGACTAATAGAAATTTTTTACACTTGTTTATATTTTTTACTTTTTATAAAAAGCACTACTGTTTAGAAAAGAGTTATTTTTTTAAAGTTTACTTTTTCACTAAAGTTATTGATTTGTCAAAAGTCAAATTAATTAAATTTTCTTGAAAGTGTGGAGGTTGGTATATTTGGTAGAATCCAATTTTAGTACAACTTTCAATGTGAAAATGTTCATAAGAAATAAATATAGGTTTATGTCGTGCTACTTTATAAATAACATTTTAAGCTTAAATAAACAACTATCTTTATTAACACTTAAGAACTTGGTAAATTTAACTAAACATTTTAACATAAATAAAATATAACAACTTTAACATTCAAGCAGCATGGAAAAAGCTGCAAATGAGTAACAGGCAAGAACATGCCTCACTGCTAGCTAGTTACTCACGAACCGACGGTGAGAAAGCGAGCTGTGGAGAGGCGGCCAAGATATATCAAAATGCATCCCGTGCGCGTTTCGCCGATTTCGTACTTCACGCATATTCTCCGAGGAAATCTCTATTTAGGTTTGAGGTCTACATCATACAACAATTATCGGCTTCAAGCGACGTAATCCAACTTCAGAGATTCGTAGATTCGAACTTTGCAAATCAGACCGCAACGCCACAAAAGTACAGGGGAATCAAAAGGACACGGAAAAATATATATTAATTTAACGTTTCTTTTAATTACTCACAAAACATACTTAGGAATTTCTGATAAGTTTTTCCTTCATGGTTTCTAAAAACTCTCTCCCTAGCAAAGAGTTAGAATGCGATTAAAAAGGGGATATGATCTAATATTCATTTCACTTTCTCCGAAAAAGTTTCTTCATTATCATTTCCGTTTATATTGGATGCTCCTGCATCTACTTCAGCTTTCACAAAACTGAAAAAAAACAGGACTGATTTAAAATGGTCAGCAATAAAAATAATTGTTAACAAAAGTCACTCGGTTTAATTCATTAAATTTATTTTCAGAAGAGGGTAGCTGTAACCTTTTAACCGTAATTTAATTTATCCATGAACTATTTAAGTGCATTTGACGTATATGTTACGGCGAATGACCGAAATCAGAGATAATGTCGACATTCGCTGGCAAATGTCTACAACCTCATGGTCGCTTTGGTGAATGTCCAAAATATTTGTTATATCCACGATTTTGATATTATTTAACTCGTTGATATTATTATATTTGTTAAATATTTTAATATCCACCGAGGATAGGTAAGGAGAAAAATCAGTGTTTGGAGTACCGGTTTACTAACCGGTACTCCAAAGGTCAGTGGCACTTGATCTTAAAAAAACATTGATGTAGGACATAGCGGGGAAATGTATACCTGGCAGTGGCACTTAACTAGTCCCAGTATGTATTTCTGACATTTATCAAAGCGACTATCTGATTGTCAACATTTACCGGTGGAAGTAAACAACCACCAATTTCGGTCATTTACAGTAACATATATATATATATATATATATATATACTTACCTGCCAACTTTTACGCATTTGGCGTAAAATTTTATTTTCATATTTAAAGTGGTAGTAAATATATACTATTTTTTTCTTTTATAAACTTATATTTTAAATGATTTTGATCACCACTATTCTTAAAAAAATTAAGTAAATATACAAATATGTGTTACTATCATGGTTGAGGACTAAGGCTTATTCAAATGCGACATACTTTTCTGCTTAAAATTGAAATTTTAATTCCATTTTAATACCACTGGGAAAAATCATAATGGAAGAGATTAAAAGTTGGCAGGTATGTATATATACTCGAAGACTATTAACACGGAAATTTTTCTAAAACAATTTAAGCAAACCATTACATTTTCAAAACTCCCAATTAATATGTAAAAATGAGTTTTAATCACAGCATTAAAAAATATAACTAAGCAAAATCTCTTAAGTTTCTTTTCTACAAGCAAGTAAGTACTACTCGCATTTTAGTTCAGCTCGGAAGAGAGGTCACCCTGACATTAATAAATTTCGAAATGATTATTAATCAAATAATAATATCGAAAAATTAAGTGATAGCTTTTAAAAAAAAGTTTATAATTTTATTTTTATAGAGGTAAAAATACAAACGCCTCTCTGTGAATAATTCATTACTGTCAAAGTTTATATTTTAATGTCAGATTTTCGGTTTAGTAAATTTGTTGTCTAGCACTGCTTGAAAATAATTCATAAAAGAAGCCATTCCTTATACAGAGATGCCAACTTGCTCCGGACAGCAAATATATATTTTAAAGTGGTTGTTTATAAATTGTGATTTTTAGTGTAATAAATTAAATTTAGTAGATTTTTATCCACCACTATTCCTAAATAATTCGTAGGCTTATATAATTCACCACTTTAAAGTGCTAAGTCATGCTATACC